GCATAAATTCAAATTCCTAGCCACCCATTCCAGCCCACTTTCTAGAAACAAACTAAACCATAATGTTCACAATTTTGATGACATATTTGAACCCATATTTGGCATCCAAGCTCATATCCAAGCCATCATTCTGCTTTAATTCAACTGTTGTTAAAACCCTTATCCATCCCTTTGTAATCTCTAGACTTGACTATACCAATGCAATCCTAGTCAACATTCTATCTTTCAACCTGCAGAATATTTATCTCAGACTCTGCCAGTCATATCTTCATGACATGCAGTGGCTCACAGCTAAACCAAGTCTCAATTTTAAAATTCTCCTCATTTTCAAACCTCTCTGATTCTAAAGACACCAGTTCCAGATTGATGTGGCTTAATGGCTAATTTTTAAGCATAATCTGTATACTATACCACTATGTTTTCAGAACACTTCGCTCTGAATCACAAAGTCCAGGTCACAACCCAGGACTTGATACAACAATCAAGATTGACACATCTGCAGGACGATTGGACTATTGCACTGTCAGATGTGCCATCCTTCAGATGTGATATTATTCTAATGTCCCATCTGCGTGTTTGGGTGAATGTAAAATACCCATGGTGTTTCTGACTAATATTTATCCCTCAATCAACATCAAAAAGACCAACATTCTAACTTCAAAATATATTGTCATTCCTTCAGGGTTGCTAGGTCAAAATCTTGGAATACCTGCCCTAACAGCATTGTGGTAATATATGCACCAAATGGATTGCTGCAGTTCGTGAAGACAGCTCACCACTAACTACTTAGAGGTAGCTAGGGTTAGGCAATTAATTTTGGTCCATTAATTTTGTAACAGTGGAAATAGTCTGTCTTGTGAATGGTGTGGGTGCATGGTTGGCAACTCATCTTGTGGTCAATTATGGGAACAAAGTTGTGCACAGTATGTTCATCTCAAACATCTACCAGAAAGAGGAATGGAACCAGTAAAAAGGAAATAGAGTTTGTAGCAAGGACCAAAGACAATGGTTTTAGTCCTCCTATTGTTTAATCGGAGGACATTTCTGCTCAACTAGCACTAGAATCTGGACAAGTAATGTAACAATTTAGGGAGACGGTAGTGAGCTGCATATTGTTAATGATCACATGGAAACTAATGTTCTATTTTTGAACAATGTTGCCCAAAGGGCAGAATATAGATTTGAAGTATCCTTCAGATACAAAGGTAACTGCATATTAGTGAAAAGGAAAGCTATTGTAAGTGATAATCTGTCTACAACTAGATAGATAAGAATGAACCAGAAGACAGCAGTTCCACTGAGCTTCTCAGCAGTGCATTGATGTTCAAGATTCATGTAATCAACAATGCCAAAGGCTTCAGGCAGCTCACAGAAAAAAGATAGAGGATATTTTTATGACAGGTTGCCAAAGATGACACCTTTAATAAGAACAGTTTTGTTACCATGTCGGGGTGGTAGCTTTGCTGGGTGGATTCAAACATGAAGTTCCGGAAAATATACTTGCAGGTTTGGGAAGTGACAACACATTCAAGGAATTTAAAAGGAAAAGGAAATTGGATTTTTTTTCCATTTTTGGGATATGGGCATTACTGGCTCAGCTAACATGCATTGTCAATTCCTGAGTCGGACTCAAGGAAGTAATGGTCTTCTTGAACTGCTGCAGATAACTTGCTGTCTGTAGATCCACAATGATGTTGGGAATGGGGGTGTTCCAGGAGTGAACGCCCAGCAGTGAAGGAACTGTGATGTAGTCCGAAGTCAGGATTGAGACTGGCTTGGAGAAGAACTTGCAGATGGTAGTCAGCCCATGTATCTGCTGCCTTGCCCTTCTAGATGTTCATAGCCAGGGGTTTGGAGGGTACTGTCCATGAAACACTTGTGAATTTATACAGTGTACTTTGTAGATGGGCACACTGCCGTCATGGAGCATTGGTGATTGAAGGAGTGAATGTTTCTAGATGTGGTTTAATTGGGCTGCTGGGTTCTGGATGGTGTCTAGCTTCTAAAGTATTGGAGCTGAACTCATTCAAGAACTTGAAAGTAATCCAGTCAGACTCCTAACTTGTGTCTTATGTATGGTGGACAGATTTTGGGGAGTCAGAAGGTGAGTTACTCACTGCAGATTCCTAACTTCTGACCTGGACTTGTAGCCACTGTATTTATTTGGCTATGCCAGTTCAATTTCCGGATAATGGTGACCTCCATGGGAGTTTCAGTGATGGAAATGACATTGAATGTCATGGGCTGAAGGTTAAGCTCACTCTTGCTAGATCTGGTCATTCCCTGGCACTTGTTCGATGTGAATTTCACTTGTCACTTGTCAGTTCAAACTTGGATATTGTCCAGATCCTGCTGCATTTGAATGTGGACTGCTTCATTCTCTGAGGGAGCTTCCCACATCTGATCTTATAATGAAGATGTCATCGATGAAGCAGCTGAAGACAATTAGGCCTCAGACATTACCCTCAGAATTCCCAAAAAGATATCCTGGAACAAAGATGACTGGCCTCCGACAATCTTCCTTTGCCTCAGGTATGATTCTCCCTGATTCCCACTGACATCAGTTTTGCTAGGGGTCCTTGATGCCACATTTGGTCAAATGCAGCTTTGATGTCTTTGTTAACCGAAGGCTGTTGTGAAGTCAGGAGCTGAGTGGCCCTGGTGGAACCCAAGCTGAGGGTAGACAGCAGGTTCTTGCTAAGGAAGTGCAACCTGATAACACTATAATGACCCTTTTCATCATTTTACTGATAATCAAGAGAAGAATGATGAGAACATAACCAATTTAATTGGATTTACCCTGCTTTGTATGTACAGAATGGACCTGAACAATTTTCCACATTGTCAGGTAGATGCCAGTGTTGCAGCTGTCCTAGAACCATTTGTCTTGGTGCACAGCAAATTCTGCAGCACATAGCTTCAGTACTATTGCCAGAACATTGGCAGGGCCTATGCAGTGTGCAGGGCCTTCGACAGTTTCTTGATATAGTACCTGGCACTTTTGACTGAGCACTGTTGCAAATGCTTCAGCGTTATCTTTTGTACTGACATGCTAGGCTCCTTCATCATTTGACAATGGGGATAGTTTTGGAGCTCCTCCTTCAGTGAGGTGTTTAAATGCCCAGTGCCACTCATGACTGGATGTGGCAGAATTGCAAAGGTTAGATCGGATCCATTGGTTGGATTGCTTAACTCTGAATATTATTTTCACTTTGGCTCCAAATAGTCCTGTTGTGTAGCTTCACCAGATTGACATCCCATTTTTAGGTACATCTGCCGCTGCTCCTTGCACATCCTCCTGCATTCTTCATTGAACTAGGGTTGATCCCCTGGCTTGATGGAAATGGTAAAGTGGAGGATTTCCCAAATTACAAGGTTGCAGTTGTGTTTGAGTACAATTCTGCTGCTGATGATGGCCTGCAGCAATCTTGCGTTGGCATGGTAAAGTGCAAGAACTCTAAGTTCAAAGATTGTGTTTTTGAGGAGAATCAAAGACTTATCAGGTGGAACGTTGTTTTGCAGTTATGCAATCTTAATTTGTACCTGAACATTTCAACTGGATAGTTCACACTCTTGAGTCAAGAGCTTATCCAAAATAGTAGGTGCCTGAGATCAATAGATACCAAAACAAGAACTATTTATTGTAACAAATTCTAGAGAATTTGATGGATTAGATCTCCAATGGAATTGCAGATGACCTTCTCCCCCACTGATTTCCAATTAAACTATTTTAAACAAACAGTTGTTTTTCAAGAATTATATTTCTGGAGCATGTTGTTAATATGCATGTTCAACTGTCAAATGTTGTTATCAGTTTTAATACTTGGTCTTTTTTCTTAATAAAATGTTAATGAAGTAATAGATTAGCAAGCCATAAAACCTTAATTTTGCTCCGTGTCAGCCCGATTTTGATTTATAAGTGAACCGTAATGTTTTATCCATCAGTAGCTTTTACAATAGTACTGCCCCAGATCCAATTTCCTCCCTCAGGAAATGTTGCTTCAATTTCAATGTGTTTCTTTCTACTTTCTTTCAATATCCCGTTGTTCATCTTTTAAACCCTGTTTCTCAAGTACAGAAGGATGCAATAAAATCATACTAGCACATTATCTAGCAGTTCCGCTCTAGATGCAACTCTGTTCCTTTCTTGCCCACTGTATACACAATTCCTTTTCACCGCTCTCCCAATCTCAGGTTTTCATTCTGCGTTATGTCTCCACGAAGCATGTGGCAAATCATTACTGTGGTTAGAAAGGGAAAATTATGGAAGGCGAATCCATTTGGTAGCTGCGGGTGCAAGGTCATACATGCGTTAAATAAAGTGTTCATAATATCATTAGGGCCATACTCCTTTTCGAGTCACTTTCATCAGCAGCTGCTGCAATATGCGGCATAATTCATTTCACTATTTTCTAAATAAAAGACAATTTTGGCAAAAAAATATCCGTAAAGATATAAAGGTATGCGCTCATTTTTGCATTAGTTAATATTTTTGAAGTTAGCAGAATCCTAAGTCGGAGGTTAGATACCACACGCAATCACTGAACAAAGAAGTCGCGGTGACACAAAGCACGCAACTGCCAAGCACTGATATTTTTTCCCCCAAAAAATAGTCAAAATTGCAACCACAATGTGGCAACATAACCAACATTTGCAATGCCTAAGGTAACTGAATTGTTATCCTGCCGCCTCGATCCTCTGCAGATACTGTTTCGATAAATTTCAACGGCGCCCCAAACAGCAATTTTGCTACATTTGACAATGATTTTAGTACACTCCCCCGCCCTCCATTGGAAAGTATGAGCGATCGGAGAAGCCCACCTTGGACCTTTCAACTTCTGAGGAATTTCCCCAAGCGCTGGAGCTTCTCAAGTCAGCTCACTATATCCCAAACAGCAAGAGCTGGTTTAACAGCATCGCTTTCCCTTGTGAATGACATTTCCCTCTCAGCTGAGTTTATACTCCCGCTAGTCTGGTTATGACTTGTTGGAAATATTTACCTCGGTCTCTAGGTGAACCAGGTCCACTTTGGGCCAAGGACCAGCTAACTGTGCCAACGGCATCCTGCAACCGACTGAGGAAACGGGACAAGAGGCAAAGCCCTGTCAGTGCGGATGTTTCCGGAGAGAGTTGCCCGCTGTCGCTGAGCTCTGCCCAGGTAGGTGAGAGATAACTGCACACAGTACTGGCTCCTTTCTGATTACTTTATACCGCTGGGTGAAGTGATACCAAGACCCCACTTTTCTCTCCCTCTTTTCCTTTCCCTTCGCGCGGGTTCCGATCGTTAACTGCTGCTCAGCTCGAGCTCTCTCGCGCCTGCCACTCACCACCCTCACGCGTTTACGTCATCACGTCGGGCGACGTCCATACGTGTGGCTGTGGCATGGCACGAAATGGCGGGGCATGGACGAGGTTCTAATGGCAATTTCAAAAAGGGTCAGGCAATGTCGATGGGTGCCACCGTAAAGTGTTACACCTCAGAAGGACACCAACGGGCGCGTCATATTTGTACGGATTCTACGAAGGACAGTCTCAATTAGTCCCGCACAGGATATGGGTGGGAACCAGAAAATTGGCAGTCGCCACTGATGTTCATTTCGGGAGCAAGTGCATGATGGGCCAAATGGCCTTTTCCTGTGCTGTTACACTTATGTGAAGTATTCGCCCGGTCTTTCTTCGCGTCCAATTGTTTTATATGTGGAATATTTTTTCGAAGTGGTGTGTTTCAAATTTTAACCGGAAGAAATGTATCCTCATTTTCTCTCTGGCTTAGTGGCCAGTTATTTGAAATCTATGACCTCTGGTTCTTTCCTCTCTGCCTAAGGAAGTTTTTTTTTTCTGTACTTGCTCCTCTAAAATGGCTAATGTTAATGAATAGCTCTATTCGATTTCCCCTTCTCCACTTTAAGAACAGTAACAACAATAGCTTATGTGTATATAATGCATCTAATGTAATTAAGTGCACAAGTGTATTATAAAACTATATATGTCCTCAACTTTATAGACGGCAGAATGTGGGAGGGTAGTATGGAGTGCAATGGAAGACTTGAATCTAGAAGTAAATAGATATGAGGCCACACCTGGAGTACTGTGTGCAATTTTGATCTCCTTACTTGAGAAGAGATATACTAGCACTGGAGGGGGTGCAGAGGAGATTCACTCGGTTGATTCCAGAGTTGAGAGGGTTGGATTATGAGGAGAGACTGAGTAGACTGGGATTATACTCATTGGAATTCAGAAAAATGAGGGGAGATCCTATAGAAACGTATAAGATTATGAAGGAAATAGATAAGTTGGAGGCAGGGAGGTTGTTTCCGCTAGCAGGTGAAACTAGGACTAGAGGGCATCGCCTCAACATAAAGGGAAGCAGATGTAGGACTGAGATCAGGAGGAACTTCTTCACCCAAAGGGTTGTGAATCTGTGGAATTCCCTGCCCAGTGAAGTGGTTGAAGCTACCTCGCTGAATGTTTTTAAGGCAAGGCTGGATAAATTTTTGAACAGTAAAGGAATTAAGGGTTATGGTGAGTGGGCGGGTAAGCGGAGCTGAGTCTCAAGAAGATCAGCCAAGATCTTATTAAATGGCGGGGCAGGCTCGAGGGGCCAGATGGCCTACTCCTGCTCCTAGTTCTTATGTTCTTATGAATGAGAGTTTCAGAAGCAGATCAGCTAAGGTAGGGACAAACTTGGGTAATGTCACGGAATTAGAATTAAACAGTTTTAGAGATCATAGGAATGAGGTCAGAAGTACATCTCAGGATTGAACGTGACACCAAGGTAAGCAACAGACTGCCCGATTCTCAGAAAATTGTTAGCAAGAGGGACAGAATTAGTGGTAGTGGAAATAGTAGTTAGGAAACAGAATTGGAGCTGGAACCAAAAACAATAGTTTAAACCTATCTAATATTTGATTGGAGAACATTTCTGCTCGTCCAGTACTGTGTGCTAGGGGTAGCTCAGTGGTTAGCACTGCTGCCTCACAGCACCAGGGACCCGGGTTTGGTTTCCTTCCACAGTCCAAAGATGTGCAGACTAAATGGATTGGCTGTGCTAAATTGCCCGTAGTGTTCAGGGATGTGTAGATTAGGTGGGATATAGGGGGATGGGTCTAGGTAGGATGCTTTCTGGGTCAGTGTGGACTTGTTGCGCCGAAGGGATTCTATGATAAACGGGTAATTCAACAGTCATGGAAAAGTCAAGATAGTTGGTAATGAGATAGAGTGGGAATCTACTTTTAAAACCAACGCTGATTTTGGATAATGACAGCATGTAGATGCAAGACAAATGGGAGACAAGTTTAGATTTGTGGAAAATGCCAGAGATATCTGAGAGAATGAGGAAGAGAACCTATTGCTAATGGCTACAGTTAGATAAGAATGGACCCAGGTAGAAGCAGTGATAGATATTTTCTAACCAATCTGTGCAGAAATGTTGTTACACACCTTTGGAGCAGATGGGTCTTAAACCTAGGCCTCCTGGATCAGAAGTAGGGATACTATGACTGTGCCATAAGAGCCCAATCCCAGTCGAGGAGGATGCGTGTGATCAATCATGTAAAAGGCTGCACATAGGATGAGAAGGGACATCATACCTTTATTGCAATCATGTAGGATGTCATTTATGATTTTGATAAGATCTGTTAGGTACTGCTGTGTTGCAGAGCCCTTATTGCAAGGATTCAAACACGAGCTGTGAAAAAGTTTAGAATAAATTTTGGGAGACCACAACACTTCTTAAGAACTTTGGAAAGAAACAGAAGATCAAAGAAGACATGGTCAGTTGCAAAGGAAGAAGGATCAAGGTGTAATCTTTCAAAGTAAAAAGAGACTAATTTGGTTTAGGAAACCTGGTGGGCATGGACAAGTTGGGCTGAAGGGCCTGTTTCCATGCTGTACACCTCTATTACTCTGTAAAGTCACCATAGTCATACCAGACCATAGGACTGCTCTCTCATTAGAGGAAGACAACTGGCAGTGGTTTGAGGATCACTACACCTTGAGCAAGAGGAGAGGTTAAGAGGAGAATCCTTCATGGTAATGTCAAGGAGAGGGGTGATGACAGCAGATTTAGAGAATAGAGGACCCGAAGGTATAACTATCTACAATATTGGCTAATATGAACATGGAGGTAATACCATCAGGAATGGAAGTGGGAGACCAATTCTAGCTTCTCCAGTGTTAATATAACATGTCTAATGTTTAGAAAAGTTTATTTCTTTCTACATGCCTTGGCATATACTGCTGGAATGAAGCATTTGATTTTGATTTCTGTGTATACTGCATTAAAGAGTAGCACAGGGATTGCAAACAAAGATCTATAAAAGTCCTTATTTACAGTTTTTCAGGTTACTGATCAATTACTTAGCAACTTTCAAGAGATTGATATTTTGTCTTATTAACATAAAGATATAGAAGAGCATATTATTTGATATTTTAATATATTAACATGTTAGATGGTGATTGGCAGTGAGAATGCAGAACGGAGGTGCAGGGATCAAGAGGTCAAGCCCAGCGCGGGAGAGAGTTTGAGCCCACGTGAGAAAAGCCCAGCGCGGAGCAACTGCAGGTTCATGGTTAATGAAGGACTGTAATTTGGAATTTTTAACTTTATTTCTTATTTACTGCTTTATGCTGACAAGAACTGCAATGTTCAACTTTTAACATTTCTTTATTTTTCTACTTTTTTCATAAGATTTTGTACCTAGGTAGCTTGAAACCTAAGATGGCTTCATGAATGGTGACATTGTAAAATTTTCACTGTGCTCCTGCATCCCTGTACTTGAGTACACGTGACAATAAAACTTAATAAATAAAACCTAATGTTTTTGTTATTTCTAATGAAAAAGAAAAAACAAAAAAGTCATACTTTACCAACATTCTGGTATTGGTGAGAAAGAACCATGCAGTGTGCCTATAAGAAAAGCTGACATACATTGTGACTAATGTCACTGCAGTTTGTGCTGCATGTATCTTGCAGCATTCCAGCTGAAGGAATTGCTGACTTCATCAGTAGTTCGACAGACAGAGAACCACCTTGAGGCAATTTCCTCACTGCACCATAGGAAGGACAACTGCTGCAACAATATATACATTGCAGCCTATGGCAGACAGCATTTTACTATACTGGAGAATGCTGCTGGCTGCCAAATGTTTCTGGTTCTGAAGTCAGCCTTCCCAGTCATACTAGTAATGCTGTCCTGACACAGTACATATTCCCAGCAACTGTGAATTTTGAGCATTTGCCTCATAGTTGTTCTTGTGTTGCCGCTGGTGCTAAGGCATCCAGTCTCTTGTATAAACAGAAATGCTTACCACTTGGAGTTAAGCCAAAATGGTTCTGACTATATAAGCTTGTCCATTAATTTTAAATTTGGGTCACTCAGTTTATGTCCCCTTCTCTTCAAATATTTGTTCCATTCTCCAGCAATTCTTGGCCACAATGAACACACAAATCCATTAAAAATGTAACAAACCAGTTCAGTGCCTTGCCTGTACTATTCTGAATATTGCTCCCTTAGTACATCATTCAATTAATGACATTTAAAACAATACTAAACAGAGGGAGCTGTTTGTGTCTCTTAGTAGTCTATGCTATGGTCATATATTGATCAAGTGAAACATACAATGTGATGAATGCCTGTTATTTATTTATAATGATTATCATCATGTCTAATACAAAATATTCCAAAAATAATGCAGAAATTTTTGTTTTTGGTATTAATGTACTAATTTTACAAAATTAAATAAGTGATTGTATATTGATATCTGTAATTTTAAAAACATCAAAAATCATTATATCATTTTTCGATTGTAAGAGGCTGCAGGACATTTGAACAGCTTACAATTTGAACTTGAATGATCTAATGCATGCTAGTCTACCTACTTCAGACTGCTGACCAGGAAAAAAATTCTATGAACCATTAGCACTTTGTAACTGCTTTTTTCCTCTAGGCTTACTGCCAGTGATATAACAATGTCCCTCTAAAGTTATAGTAAGCAGTGAGATTTCAACGCTGAAAGATAAAAGAATAATGCTGAACAAATAACTATTAGATGTCCTCTAACACATATCTAATGTTAAGAAAACAGTTTATTTATTTCTACATGCCTTGGCATGCAAATCTCAAATGGAGTATCTGGCTCTGATGTACATTGTCTACACTGCATTAAAGAGTAGCATAAGGATTATGAGCAAAGATCTTTAAAAATCCTTATTAACAGTTTTCAAATTATGAGCAACTTCAAGAGATTGAAAAAATTATTTGCCATATTAGGGAATGATTTATTTCAGGCTAATATGAAGCAGTTGTAAGAGTAGTC